GGTGGGGTGAGGGCCTTCGAAGGAGCCCAGGGCATGGTGAGGGCCCAGCAGGAGGCAGACACACTCTAATAAAGAGCCACTTTACAAAGGTGTGAGAAGGGGTAGGGGAACCAAGAAGGGGGTTACAGGCCAGGGAGGCTGTGATTGTGGGAAAGAAAAGCAGGTCCCTGGTGGAGAGCCATGGGGAGGGGCCGTAGGGGCAGGAGGAGCGGCAAGTACCAACCTGCCCTCCTCCTGCCCTCTGACCTCCAGCCCACTCCCCATTTGAATGTAGATTGGGCTGATCCTCCGAGGCCAGCCTCTGGGGCAGAGCAGAATAGAGAAGTGTCAGGCAGTTCTGCAGGGGTGAGGTGGCCCCCTCCGCACGCAGGCCTGCTTCAGGTCTCCCTGTGTGGGCAAAATGCTTCCAATGCCTTCCAGAAATAATCACAAAAAATGCTATTTAATAATCTCTGCATTAGATGCTTGTCAACGGCTCACATACATGATTGCACTGCAGCTGACCACAGGCCAGCAGGGAGGCTCTGTTAACACCCACGCGGCACCATTCCTAACCCCTGGCCCGCAGAGAACGGCATTTCCCACGGAGCCGGAGCCGACAACTTCCTCCCCTCCCTTCCTTCCCCTCCTTTGACCTCCTTCCCCTTCCCTCCTCACTTTTCCTTCTTCCCTCTTTCTCTCTTTCTCTCCCTCTTCTATTTAAAAAGCAAATGTGGATCATATTAGGTACATGCTCATCTACCACGAGTATTTTTATAATCCAACAGAAATTCAAAGTTCCTTTATAAACCACCTATGGCATTGTCACACATCCATCCATCTGAGCATCATAAAACCCACTCTAAAATATTGTTGTTGTTGTTGTTGTTGTTAATCTTCACCTGAAGATATTTTTTCCTTTGATTTTTAGAGAGAGTGGGAGGGAGGGAGAGAGGGGGAGAGAGAGAGAAAGAGAGAGAAAGAAACATTGATGTGTTGCCTCCCACCTGCGCCTGCGCCCGCACCCCAGCTGGAGCCAGGGATCGAACCTTGCTCAAGTCACTGCGTTCTAGGGGCCTCAGTTTGCTGTACTCTCTACTGACCTAGCAGGTAGCTGTGAGGATTGTAATGGGGATGCTGGAGAATGAAGCAAGCCAAGGCCAGTATACATCCATGAGGCCACAGTTGCAAGGGCTTTGGAAAGTCTGATGTAGAACAACTGTAAAAAGCCAAGCAGACTCCCTGGAAGAGGTGGTAAAGGGTACTACTACTAACATATTAAACCTCTTATCTACAGAGCCACATGGCCAAGCCCTTTGTACACACTTTCTCCAAAATATCCCACTGGCCCTGTAAAACGGGGGGTAGTATCTCCTTTCACCTTGGACCCGAGCCCCAGGGAAGGTATGAGTCCAGCTGAAGTGCAGTCAGTGTGGATGGACGCAGCTGGGATTCCAGCCCACACTGCCAGACTCTGGAGCCTTGCTGTCCCTTCACACTCTACATCCTTCCCTTAGGTGAGAAAGATTTCAAGAACAAATCTAAGCAGACAACACACCCTGAGGAGTCGAGAAACGTCTGCCGAGGGCTCATCAATGAGGGCCATTATGAAGTCTTCGACCTTGTGAGCACTGCTCAGTGTTTCACAAAGTGCGGGCAACTGGAGAAAGAATCCTGTGATCTGGGAAACTTGCAGAGGTAACTCGGCCCTCTGAGCTGGAGCAGGAATCTGGGGTCCTGCCAGGGTGGGGAGGAGGGAAAAATGGAGCTATCAGCCCCATAACCCCAGAAAATGCTGCTCCCATCTCGCCCTTCCACCTTGTTGTTTGACATTCACATTGTCCCTGACCCTGAGACTCCTCTGATTCAGTGACTACAGAGATAAATCACCTCCTGTCCCTGCCATTGGGAGTTGTGGCCCAAATGATGATGACTCTAGAGTGTGGTCATACAAAAGGGGGGACAAGGTATCGCATTGGCTCAAAGGAAAAAAAGTCTGCCAAGGCTTCATAGAGGAGTGAAGCCATGAAAGGGCTTTGAAGTTTGCATAGGAGTTCTCCAGCTGGACCCAAGCAATGTTAGGAAATACAGGCAACAGAACTTCAGGGAGTATTGAGAAAGAACTACAGTACTTTGACCTGTGAAAGAGTAAAGTGCTGGGGATGGAGGTGGGGTGGGGTGGGGATAGAACTGAAAAGATAAGTATGAAGGGTTGTGTAAGCTACACCAATGTCAGAGGGAGCAGGGCCATGCTGTATTTTCAATAGAAGAGCATGGTCAATTTACATTTTAGAAAGATTGCTCAGGCTTCAGGGAAGGATACAAGGGTGGTGATGCAGGATGAGATGTGACCAGGTATGATGGGAGTACAGTAGTCTGGGTAAGAGTGAGGGATGGACCACTAACACCACCAATAACAATTGGCACTGTGCACCTAAAAAGGAGGGACGGATTAGAGATTATATGATGTAGATTCAATAAAACCAAGAGACCAAGAGACAAAGAGACATTGCACTGAGGGAGAGGAAAGGGCTTAGGATAAAACATCTCCAAGAGTCATCGCCAAAAATTTATTTGCCTCTCTCCCTTCTCCTCCCTTCCAATCAAAGTTGCCCATAATTCTTCTGGGATACTCAGGGCAGAGTCATAGTTGTCACTCAACACATATTTGTTGAAAAAGTGAATGAAAAGAGTGTGTTCTTAGATTGGGTGTTAGGACAGCAATCCGATTGGACTACAGTATTTCTAGGAGTGGAGTTCGTGAGTCACAGGGTAGACATGTGATTAGTTTTAGTAGAAACTGCCAAGCAGTTTCCCAGTTTCACCCCCATGATCAGTATTAGTTAGTTCTAGTGGCTCCACATCCTTGCAAACACTTGCTATTGTCTGCTTTTTCATTTTAGCCATTCTGGCAGGTTTGTGCTATAACGCGGAGTGATTTTCATTACATTTCCCTGATGACTGTTGAAGTTTAATACCTTTTGTACTTTTATCAGACATTACGATGTCCCCTTTGTGCAGTGCCCTTTTAAATCTTTTGATGGTTGTTCTGTGGGGTTGTTTGAAATTTTTTTAGTGAGTTTTACGGGTTCTTTATGTATTCTGGATCCATGTCTCAGCAAATATATACACACAAATATATTCTCCCTACTGAGGGGTCCCTTTTCATTCTCTTAGTGCTATCTTTTGACTAAGGATGGACATTCTTAATATAATGCAAAAATATCAGAATTTTACTTTTCGGTTAATGCTTTTGGGGTCTGTTTATGAAACATCTGCCTACCCCAAGATCACGAATATACTCTTCTATGTTTTCTTCTCAAAGCTTTATTGCTTTACCATTCACCTTGACCTCTACCACCCACTAAAAGAAAGTAAAAGGCTGTGGAAAAAACTCTGCTGTGCTTTTCAGAGTTTTCAGCTTAGCTAGTGCCTCTCAGACTATGCAGTGTTAGTATTCTGGAAGATGGCTGGAGGAGAAGTCAGCTGTTTATTTGAGGCCCTTCCCATGGCCAGGTTTGTTTCTTCACTCCTCTCCCCACCACTAAGGCCACCAAATACAAACCCGACTTTGTATAGTTTACGAAGTGCCCTGTGCCCATTTGCAATCCATCCCTCCTCCCTTATCCAGCCACAATCAACCACTGATCTGCTTTCTACTCCAGAGATTTGCTTTTTCTGGGCATTTTATATAAGAGAACCATACAACGTGGTGTCTTTTGAGTCTGGCTCCTGTAACTTGTCATAACATTTCTTATTTTTATTCATATTTTAGCTCATATCAATAGCTTGTTCCTTTTTACTACTGAGTAATATTCCACCAGATGGAGATATGGTACCTTTTGTTTGTACATTCACCAATGGCTGGAAGTTTGGGTTGTTCCCGGTTTGGGGGTATTACAAATAAGTCTGCCATGAACGTTTGAATTCACATCTCTCATTTGTTCTGGGTAGATACCTGGGAACGGAATTGCTGGCATATATAGTAAAGATATGTTTAGCTTTATAAAGGACTGCCCTACCGTTTCTCATAGCAGCTGTGTCATTTGTTTTCTCATTGGCAGTGTAGGAGAGCTGTGGTTTCAGCACATTCTTGCGATGTTGGCAGTCTTGTTGGTTATAGCCATTCCAGTGGGTGTGAAGTGAGAGCTCAGTGTTGTTTTAATTTGCTCTCCACAAATGACTAATGATGTTGAGCCTCTTGTCATGTGCTTATTAGCCACTTATATCTTTTCCTTGGTGAAATAACTATTCAAATCTTTTCCTCCTTTAAAAAAATTGGGTTGTCTTCTTGTCATTGAGTTTTAACAATTCTGTAATATTTAGGATACCATTTTTTTTAATCAGATGTGTACTTTGCAAATACTTTCTCCCCATGTATGTCTTGTATTTTATTTTCCTAATGATATATTTTGAAGCTCAAAACATTTAATTTTGATGAAATCCAATTTAAATTTGTGTGTATATTTGCTGTCATATCAAAAAAAAATTTTATCTAGCCCACAGTTACAAAGATTTTCTCCTAAGTTTTCTTCTACAAGTATATGGGGTTAGCTCTTATAACTAGGTTATACGCTTGGAGTTAGTTTTTTGTGCACAGTGTGAGATAAATGTCTAACTTTATATTATTATTACTACTACTTTTACCTCTGGATATCTAATTGTGTTGGCACTATTTGTTGAACACAATGCTTTCTCCATTGATTGCTTTTGGGAGGGCATTCCACTGAAGAGCTAAGTGGAAGCTCCCGGAATGTCTTCTCCCAAGATAGTAACCCAGAAACAAAACTACGTGGTGGCAGAGATTAATGCCACCATGAAAGATCTGCAAGAAGCAGGGGGTGGTGCTACCTACCCCAGCTCCATTTAACTCACCAGGAGTCAGGTGGGCCTTGGAGCATGACTGTGGACCACCACAAACTTAACCACATGGGGAGTCCGATTGCAGCTGCTGTCCCCGATGAATATGTTTACTTAAATAAATCAACACAGCCCCTGGCAATTTGTATGCAGCTCTTCCATGGCTAATACTTTTTTCTCCGTACCAATTTTCAAGGACTACCGAAGCAGTTTATCTGTACTTGACAGAGCCAACGATATTCTGTCACAGTGTGTCCTCGGGGCTGTGTTGGTTCTCATCGCTGTCATCATATAGCTCACAGAGACCTTATTAATCTTGACATTCCAGAAAGCATCACTAGTTCACTATATTGACAGCATTATGCTGATTAGATTTGATGAGCAGAAAGTGGCATGTATTTAAGATGCCTTAGGAAGACATATGTGAACTAGAGCGTGAGAGATAAACCTCGTAAGAATTCAGGGGCCCATCACCTTATTGAATTTTCTGGGCATTCAGATGTCTGGAGAATGTCAAGATATCCCCTCCAAGGTAAAAGACAAGTTGTTTAATGTCATACCACTTACCACGGGAGAAAAATAAACAAGCACAATGTGGAAAGATATGTATTAGGCAGACATGAAACAAAAGAAATCTGAGTAACTATATTAATAGCAGGCAAAGAAGATGATGCTTAAATGGGTGTCAATGTCATAATTAAAAATTCATTGGTATATCTATGCTTTAGACTTTTTGAATGTGTTATATTTCACAACTAAAATAATTTTTAAAGTGCTCTGAGAACCAGATGAGCTGTTTTATGAGGCCAAGGAATTTAAGTGCATAAGGTGAAAAAAAAAAAATATATATATATATATAATGAAATAAAATTACACAATTCACTATTTTATTTGGTAACAATGACAATCACAATGCTTGTTTGTTTAGGTTTTTTAATAGGTAAATAAAAGCTAGACTTGACGCAGTTCAATCAATGGATTTGGAGAACCTCGCCCCACTATTTCTGGCTTGATGATGTTCTAATTGGCCCCCAAGCACATCTGCATATATGTGCATGGCTTACTCCTTATGTTACACAATATTTTTTCTGTGGTTTCTTTGGGGGGTTTTCCCTTGGTTCAAAAATGATGTCAAAATAAAAACCCCCTGTTGTCTTCCCTGCAAGCTCTCCACAGCTGCACCTTTCCAACAGCCTCGATCTGGCTGTGTCTGCCCCCCCCCTCCCCATTGCTATCTCAGCCCTAACCTGGCCAGCAGATCTTAAGACCCCAGGTTTAGGAAAGGAAACCCTGGTGCTCAGTGACGTTTCAGGACCACGGAGAGCGCACAGGCTTGCCTCACCCTGATATTTTAGCTGAGGCAAGGGAGCTGCGGGAAAATTAATTCCAATGAACTTCTCTGTCCTGTGTGGTTTGATGACTCAGTTCCCATAAGTCAGTTTCCATACAGCTCAGTCTCCAAAGACTGAATTCCTAGTATGCAGTTAGTACTCAACAAATACGATGTGTTCACTCACGCCGCACAATTATCATCCCACAGTTTTAAATACTCAGAGGAATTTCTCCATACAAAGACAAACAAGCGTATAAAAATACACTCAACATCATTACACATTAGGTAAGTGCAAATTAAAACCACAATGAGATGCCACTGTGCACCCACTAGGATGGCTACAATGAAAAACAAAGCGAAAACTAGCTATTGGCAAGTATATGAAGAAATACGTTGTTTATGGGAATGTAAATGGTGCCGCTGCTGTGGAAAACAGCCTGACAGCTCCTCAAGAAGTTAAACGTAGAATTACCACGTGACCCATCAACCTCACTCCTAGGTATGTACCCAAAAGAACTGAAAACAGGTCTTCAAACAAAAACCTTGTATGTGAGTGTTCATAGCAGCCCTATTGGCAATAGCCCAAACATGGGAGCAACCCAAATGTCCCTTGATGGATGAATGGATAACCAAGATGTGATACCCACTTACAATGGAATATTACTCATCCATAAAAAGGAATGACGTACTGAAACATGCTACAGCACAGATGACCCTTGAAAACACTATGCTAAGTAAAAGAAGCCAGGCACAAAAGACCAGATGCGATCTAATTCCACTTACATAAAATATCCAGAATAGACAAATGTATAGAGACAGAAAGCAGATTAGTGGCTGCCAGGGGTCTAGGGGAGGAGGGAAGGGAGTGACTGCTTAATGGTACAGGGTTTCCTTTTGGAAAGAAATTGTACATTTTATGTGATATGGATTATATCACAAAAAGACGAACGAGTGAAATGCTGAGGGACTGCTGGCTGGAACCCCTCGGGACAAGCTTGGATTGCCCCCACGCCACCCCTCTTCTCCTTGGTGCTCCCAAGAGAAGCTATCCTGGGTCACTCCTCCTACCCTAAGAGCCTGATGATCACTGCCCATGGTCTCTCTCCTCCTTTCATCCAGGCTGGGGGCCAGGTGAGTGGGGGACTCAGCTTGCAAGGCCCTACATTGCCCCTGACCCCCTGGCCCCTTGCAGATACTGGCTGAACTACGAGACCTATCTGGTGGAGAACAGTCCAAACAAGCCAGTGGATCTGCCTTTTCTGAAGACTTCTCTCAAGAACGTCAGCACCAACATCTCAGAAGACCTGCACTTCTCTCTGAGCCCCTCTCAGGTGAAGAGTCCCCTGTCCCTGCTGGCTGGCTGGGTGCTTTTCAGAATTCTGAGAGAGTCATGGGGGTGCTTGGTGCCCATCAAAACAGCTCGCCTATGTCCCTTTAGGTAGGGCTCTGCCGCCTTGCTGGCGAGTGAATCGGATGAGCGGATCCTGGTAACAGATTATCCAGGTTTCTAGGGTGAGGCGTTTGGAAGATCATTGAATTGAGAGCGAGGAGACTGAGTTCTAGTCCTTGGCACCCACCACCTCACGAGAGTGGGAGCCCCTGGAGTCCTTATCTGTCAAATGGACTCTATACCTTCTCCAAAGTCTGAGTTTCCCATGAGCTCTTCCACCCAGGAGCACTGTTGTGATCTTAGCCTCAGTTCCCCCCTCAGTAAAGCGATGGCAATATTTGTCCAATTTCAAGGTTATCAAAGGAGCAAATGAGATAATTCACAGGGAATGCTTGGCATGGCGAGGGCGCAGCCCCTTAAGGAACGAAGCCGTGGGCAGTAGGTCAGGCAGCAGGCAAGAGGAACTTTAAGGCCTGCCTGGAGAAGGGGAGATGGAAGATGGATAGGGCCTTTCTCCACCCTTTGTTATGCCACCTAATCAGCAGAGCCCCCTGCGTGGGGTACGCACTGGCCCCAGAAATCAGCCACGTGTCCTCCTGACAAGGGTCCGGACTGGGAAGGAGAAAGCTGGAGCCCTCGGCTCCAACCCCTGGCTCCCCTGCTCCTCTGTGCGTGGGATGCTTGGGAGGCAGGGCCTGGCGGGATCGGGCAGCAGCTCCCGGGGAGCAGTGAGGTCCGAGCGTGAACGAGACATGCTTTGCAAGTCCCAGTGAAAGTGACTTTCATTTTTTGAGCCTTCTTGACTTTTACAGAATTTGTTTTCTGGGAGCAGGGGTGGAAATCCCATTCAGTGTGACTGCTCGTGTCCCCCATTGCAGCCCTCATCACCTCCCGTCCTGGGGACTTATTCCTTCCACTTCCTCCCGAGTCAGAAGCCAGACACTATCACGTAGCACCACAGGGTTGTTGGGACCTGGCCACAGTGCAGCTGCCCCTCCCTCACACCTGCAAACTGAGCTCGTCCAGGTGTCGTCTCTTCTCAGCCCACCTCCAGCCTCACAGGTGGCCCTGCAGGCACCTTGCTACCCCCATTCTCCATACTGGGAAAACTGAGGCTCCATGGGTGCCGTGACTTGTCCGGGAGCTCACAGCCTGGACAGAGCAGAGCTTGTGCTGTGCTCCGGGATGTCCTGCCTCTCAGAGCTAAGGTCCTCAGGTGCCACCCCTCCACCCGGTGTGCCTCAGTTTCCCTTCCCCACAAGGGAGTGGCAGGACGTGTGTTGGGGTCTGAAATCCTTTGGTCAAGAAGGAGCCACTGGGTCTGTGGTTACAGATTCCGGAGCAGGTGACGGAGGACAAGCACAAGTTCCCTGACAGAGTCCGGCTGCCCAGGAGCCTGTTTGCATCCCTGCAGGGCAGCAGGCCGGAGGTCCGCTTGGCCGTATCTGTCCTGGACATCGGGCAGGGGAACCTGTTCAAGGTGAGGAGAAGCGGGTGGAGGCTCAGGGCAGCCCTGAGGTTGACTGGGCAATGCTTCCCCTCTGTGGAGTTGTTCCTGTGGAGCCTGAGGGCGATGGAGGAGGGGACGAGCTTGAGAGTGTTTCTCAAGCAGCCCAGGGCATCCCAGACCCCGGTCTCTAGAGTTCGTGGACCTCAGACTTACACGGGTCCATGCACCCAGATATTCGGACCCTGCACACCAGCGCCCTTGGGCTTGCATGTGTATTCCAAGTGAGCCTGTGTCCCGGTGGGTCCCTGCGCATGCACAAGCATGCATGTCCTTTCCTGTTCCTGGTGCACACAGTCCACATGAGCAGGTGTACCCATGCCCCTTCAGATGTGTCCCACGTGTGTCCCAGAGGCATGTATCTGCTCCTATGCAGACATATGTACACTTAAGTGCTTGTGTAGCCAAGTGCTCACCCCCTGCAGGCACCCACCACCCTCCATTTATGGGCTGATTTTTCTCCTGGCCCTGTGCCCCTCCACTTAAGAGGGCAGAGGAGCCCTGGGGGACAGGGCTGGAGAGCTGCTGGGTGCCTGGCTTTGTTACCAGTTTGCCTGGAGTGTAGGACCCGCTCTGGCCCAGCCCAGGCCAGAAACTATAGGGAACAGCAGAGAGGATGTCACCCTAAATCCTTGGTCCCCTGGCTCCCTTGTCTCAGACTTTGCCCTCCAGGCAAGGGCCACAGGTCCTGGAGGTTCCCAGGAACCCTTGCCACAACTGAGTTGGGACAGCCCCTTCCGCAGCCAGGCCTCCCCCATCTCCCTCCACAGGGCCCCCAGCTCAGCCTGGAAAATGACGGCAACGTGTTGAACAACCGCCTGGTGGGCTTGAGTTTGGGCCGCATGCGTGTCACGGGGCTGAAAGAGCCTTTGGAGATCACCTTCTCCCACCAGCATCAGCCTCCTGTGAGTCCCCCACCCCAGCCTGGCAATTACTCAGTGGGCACCCCTGGGCCCCTGGACAGACATGCACAGGACTCTGCACTGCCCACCTTCCACGTCCACCCAGGAGCAGCCATTAGGACCATGCACACCACACAACTGTGCCCAGGGACGCATGCCCACTCTGTGCACATATGCCCACAGGACCCCGGAACCATTCTACTCACATGCTCACAGAGGCAGACGCAGGACCTGGCACACCCACATGCATGCACCTGGCATGACACATCCACCCACAGACATGCGACCCTCCCACCCACTGCCCTCAGCATACCCACGCCCCTCACGCGCCGACCCAGGGGCCATCAGATGGTGTGCTTGGTGTTCCTATGTGACCACGGGGTGAGCCTTGTTTCTACCTAATGCACACGCCTGCTAAGACAACAGAGCATGCTGTCCCTTCCCTCTGCCCCCCCACACTCTCCTCTCCCCTCTCCCAACCTCCCCCTGCCTCTCCCCTGACTCCCGTCCTCTGGTTTCAGAACATGACCCTCACCTGTGTATCCTGGGATGTGACTAAAGGTAGGGCCTGGAGGACCTTCTCTGTAAGACAGGCGGGAGGGTATGGGCTCCCTCAGGGGTGCAGGGCTCTACCAGCAGGGCCCCTCCCCTCTCCTCCCTCCTCTTTGTTCCCTCCCCTCCTCCCTGGTCCTTTCTCTTCCTTTTGCCCTCCCTCCTCTCCCTTACAATCTCCTCCCCTCCTCTCCAGGGTCAGCAGGAGACTGGTCTTCCAAGGGCTGCTCCACGGAGGTCCGGGCCAAGGGGACTGTCTGCCGCTGTGACCACCTGACCTTCTTTGCGCTGCTGCTGGTAACAGCCCACCCATCCTGATCCCAGCAGTTCTGGAGGTGCCCAGGCTCCTGTCCCAGGGAGGGGGGCTTCCTGGCAGGAGCCAGGCCCTTTGGGGGTAAGTGGGCCTGGCCTCCAACTGATGGGGTCCTGGTTGGGGATTTGCCCACAGAGGCCGGTCTTGGACAAGGTCACCGTGCAGGCCCTCACACGGATTTCCCAGGTTGGCTGTGGAGCCTCCATGATTTTTCTGGCCTTCACCATTGTCTTCTATGCTGCCCTGAGGTGGGTGACCCATCTCCACTCCCTCCTGTCCTCAAAGGCAGCAGCGGTGCAGGGTCAAAGGCACCTTGGTTGTGCAACATTATATTGATATCCTCTCCAAACCTTAGTTTCCTCATCTATAAAATGGGTTTGGAGGCTGAAATGTGTTGGGGCCATTTCAGTTACCAGTGACAGAAACTCAACTCAAATGGGCTTAAACATAATAAGGAATGTGTGAGTCATGGAATTGAAAAACCCAAGGTGGGCTCACTTCAGGTGCGGTTGGATCCAGGACCATGTGTCTGGGAGTTGGCCTCTCTCTGCTTCTCATGCTTTGCTCTCTCCTTTGTCAGTCATGTCAGAAGTTTCTCCACACTTGGGGACCTTGGGGAGCCCCAGGCTTGCATCATAGTTTCTTAACTGCCTAGACAGTTAATATCCTAAACTGAGTCCCAGAATTGAAGTCTTTAAAATATTTTTTAATAATTGTAGACTAACAGGAAGTGGTGAAAATAGTGCCTAGAATCCCATGCTTTCTTTATCCAGCTCTCCCCAAAGATGACATTTTCTGTAACTCTATACCTCTAGTACGATTTCAAAACCAGGCAGGGAAAGCAGAATGCATTCGGGGAATTGCAAGTTATGCAGTCTGGCTAAAGCATGGAGTTGAGGTACGAGGCCAGCAGCAGCTGGGGGGCTAGCAGGGTCTGAGGCCATGAGAGGACTCCTGGGGGCACCCACTCTGGGATGGCAGGGGTGGAACAGAGGAGGTGGGATGGAGAGGCCCCTGATGCTTCGACCCCTTGCAGCCTCTCACTGGCCCTTCTCCCCCAGGTTCTCACGGAAGAGATTCAAGTCAGAAGATCCTCCCAAGATCCACATGGCCCTGAGCATTAGCTTGTTTCTCCTGAATCTAACTTTCTTCATCAATGTGGGGCGTGGCCCAAAGGGATCCCCTGCCACCTGCTGGGTCCGGGGGGCCGTCTTCCACTACTTCCTGCTCTGCGTCTTCACCTGGATGGTCCTAGAAGCCTTCCACCTCTACCTGCTCATCATCAGGGTCTTCAACACCTACTTCGGGCACTACTTTCTGAAGCTGAGCCTCGTGGGCTGGGGTAGGTGGTGCCTGCTGGGCGGAGGGGAAGGCTGGGCCTGAAGGGCAGGGAGGGGAGAGAGGCGGCTCCCTCCCTCAGAAAGGCTTGGGGGTTGAGGGATGGGCAGCCAGCGGAGGGGGACATGCCACAGGAGTCCCAGCAATGTCATACCTCCTCCCCCAACTAGGCCTGCCGGCCCTAATGGTCATCGGCACCGGCAGTGCCAACAGCTATGGCCTGTACACCATACGAGACAAGGACAACAGGATCACACTGGAGCTGTGAGTGGCGGCTGTGGGAGCAAGAGTGGCGTCGGGTCCCTGGCTTCATGTATCAAGGCCCGAGGGAGGTGGGGAGAGGAGGGAACTCTGGGAGGAGAGAGCGAGTGAGTCCAGGCAAAGGATCTTCAGATCCGCAGGGGTAAACTGAGGCTTGGAGAAAGGAAATGCAATGAGCGAGGGGTCCTGAGTAGGAGGAGAGAGAACCAGGCCAGGAGGCAAGATGCCTTGCTCTAGCCTGGCCCACTACCAGCCCATGTGGCACTTTGGGACACATTTTTAAAAGTGTCCCCCATCCCCAACCTGCCATGCCAGGTGCTCAGATGGATTTCAGCCCCCACCTGCCCCCTCAGTCAGGTGCCCTTGTGCAGGGCACACAACCTGCCCATGCATTCCCAGGAGCCCTGGTCTTATCTAGGCTCTGCCTTTGAGTTGCTATGTGACTTTGGGCGAACCCATCCTGTCTCTGGGTCTCAGTCTCCTCATCTGTACAATGGGGTAGGGGAGGAATGATAGGCATGCTCTTTAGGGCCTTTCACCCCTGCAGTGCAGGGAGCGGTGAGGCAGACCTGAGCCCTTCCCAGGATGTCTGTCTCAGGCCCATGGCTCTATGCTAAGAGGGGCTGGTCATGTCCCCGGACCTCAAATGCAGGGGCCACAGGGTTCCAGTAGGCAATGACATAAGTGCATGGGATGGCCCACGTGGCGGTTGCAGTAGACTGGCAATCACACACCCATCTAATGGACAGCTGCCAGGCATATGGTTTTACAAAAGAAGCAGAAATCTGGATGCTTATGCCAAACCTCCTACTTTTTAAAAGATGGTCATGAATTCGATTTTTAATTTTTTTTACAACATAATGTGGGGCAAGCAAAAGATGTCTTTGGGGCCAAATTGACCTTTTTGCACCCATAGCCTCTTGAGAGCTCCTTCCCCAGGAGGGCAGGGGTTGATGGGTGGACACAGGGAAGGGCATCTTCCTGGTCATCGAAGGTCAGTCAGGGGAGACAGTCCAGGGCGTCCCAATGGCCATCCACCTCTACCAGGTGCTGGTTCCATGAGAAAAATGGCATCTCTGCCCTCTACGCCACTGTCCACGGCTACTTCCTGGTCGCCTTCCTCTTCAGCGCTGTGGTCCTGGGCCTGGTGGCCTGGAAGATCTTCACTCTGTCGAGCACCACGGCAGGCAAGGAGCAGCGGCAGAGCTGGAAGGGGGTCCTCACCTTGCTGGGCCTCTCGAGCCTGGTGGGCATGACATGGGGGCTGGCCATCCTCACGCCCCTGGGCCTGTCCACCATCTACATCTTTGCCCTGTTCAACTCCTTCCAAGGTGAGGCCTCCAGACCAAGGACAGGGTGGGCTGCCTCTTCTGCACCAAGGGGTGTTGGGAGGTGAGGAGGGAGTGGTTTGCAAAGAAACAGGATTCCGCTGACCAGCTCAAATCAAGGCAACTGAGTTTCAATATCCAGAGCTCTCCCAAGAACCCCAGGGCAGAAAGGCTGGCTGACCTCATGGGAGCTGCTGCCAGGCTCAGGAAAAGCCACCCAAACCTAAGCAGATACGTTCTCCACCTTTTTCTCTGGAGCCACATGCAGCCTCTCACCTTCCCCCCTCCATCCCTCTCCCTCCGCCAGCCCATTCTACTCATGGGCCCCAAATGTCTGCCCAACACAGTCACCTTGACCCTACATGACCTTCCAAGTCCAGTGACTACAGTCTGATTCAGTCTTCCAGGTCTTAGGGGAGCCAAGGACCTGGGCCATCTTAGTCAGGTGTCCATCTCTGGTCCAATCAGCTGTGACCAGGAAGGGAGGGTCATGCGATGTGATGGACACATGACATGGACAGAGTCCCCAAGGGGCTGTGGAGGCAGGAAGTGACCAGTGGAGAAAATGATTGATGCACCTGTCCCCT